TTTGTTGGCAATTGTGCATCTAATGTTGACAGTAAAGATGAGCCAATGCTTTGCTCAACATGGCTGAGTACTTCTGCTTTTACTGCACCTTCAGGGTGGAGAAATTGAGCAGCTGGGTGAGAAGCTGGTCACTCTTTACGGTATGCCCCTACTATGGTAGCTCTCTGTGTGATACTGCTTTCAGTGCGTTAACCTTGTGCATATGGCTGGGGCTAATTTCCTGAATGATGGCTTCACCAACAGCATTTAAAGCATCATGATATTGTGGCCTCACTCTGTGATTCATTTGGGGGTTGGGTAGAGCCCAGACTTTACTGAAGTATTAATGCTTCCTGTGATGCTGAAGAGCAGCCATGATCACGAAATATAGGGCAAACTGAGTGGTGGATAATTTATCATAAAAAGAATATGTGTGGGAAGTAGCAGATATTATAAAACAAAGTTGAAGGTTATGAATGGTGGATAATACATCAAATATTCTGGGAATCTGAGCTATGGGAGGAAAAGGTTTTCCAGCAAGAAACTTCCAAGGGGCACCAAAATGTCATGGTAGGAGAAGGATCCAGAGATATCAAAGAAGCTTGAAATCACACGTGTATAGTTGTTGGTTTGGGGACCATTAGTTCTGTCAAGAAAGAGAATAAGAAATGACCACAAGTTTGTTGATGGTAGGGATTCTAAAATTTCTTGTGAAAAGTGTAAAATTCCTCCTAAGATGGAAAGAGATGAAAGAATGGTCTATTTACATATACTAAAAGAAAGACCAGACTCAGGAATCCAGAAAAGTAGTGTTGAAGGCATCTTGTCATTAGTTCATAGGAAAACAAAGATAATTATGGGACAAGCACTCAGATACATAAACATGATTCTCAAAAATATTAGAAAAAATTCATAAAGGAAAATGGGTTTATTTTTAGTTTTGCAAAAAATAAGGAGTTCAAGTTTCCCTAGTTTTTCTCCTTGCCTCTAGCAGCCTTAGACTGTTATAGAAAAACATGATTGAGTAAAATCTGGGAAGGACACACACACACACAGACACAGCTTCAGGGCAGTTTGGATGTTCTTTATTTTCAACTTAGGGAGTTTGAGATAATGTGATAGAGTTGGTGTGGAATCTCCTAAAATATGTCGGTGCCTGAAACAAATCTCATAAACAAATACAATTAGGAGCCAACATCAAAAGATATTCAGTTAGTGTTAGTTGATGCACAAGAAATATCTCCTGAAAAACTCATCATCTTGGTTACTTTCGGAAGGACTGTCTCAATTGACTGCATTCAGCCCAGGCTGGCTCTGAACTCAGAATTCTTCTGTTCAGCCTCTACGATGCCGAGTGTTCACTGTGGATCCATCTTACTCTGACAATATCCTTTCTTGTACCATTTCTCTGAAGCCACCGCTGATTTAACTGTCTGGTTTGATTCCAATTGTTCCTTGAAGCGGGAACATCTATCCCAGTTTTCTGATCTCATACCAAGAAAATCTATGTGTTGGGGGAGGGTGGCAGAGTAAGTGACAGATGTCAAGCAATTTGTGCCAATAAAACCCTCCATGAGCAAATTCAAGCCACTGCAAACCAGAAGGAGTAGCTCCTGGTGGTGCCTACCTGGAGTCCTGCATCTGCGCAGGTTCTGGGGCTCTGAAGCCCAGTCCTCTCCCTTGTTCTGTCAGCTTCTGAGCCATCCTCCCAGCCCCGTCTATGCCAATTCTACCTGAAAGTGTGTCTAAGAGCATAAAACACTTTTATGAATGCCTGGTTGGTTTAGACACCGAGAATTAGGTTTTACTTTAATATGTATATTAAATACTGACCTTAGAAAACTCACGTTTTAAAACATTTTTAAAAAGTTTTTTAAAATAGCATAATGAAAATAAGTGTATCTCACATGTGGTTGGCCCATTTAACCAGTGCTATATTATGCTCATTACATGATTTCAATCTAATTAGAAATTTCATTCACAAAATGAAAAAAAATGAACTACAGGAAAAATAAAACATTACATTTTTATCTTCTAAAGTTCATCTTTTTAAAATTTGAAAGCAGACTATTATTTGAAAAAGTTCAAATTCTCTGAATTCAAAGCATTGAAAACCTTATTTTGGTTATAGTCACCTAATTACAAATATTTTCTAACAAGTTTTTAAAAGCCTTATATACATTTTCATATCTATTTTCCAGACAACTCTTAAATGTCATTTTTAGATGTAAACATTATATATTCCCTAAAAATCAACATATCTGTAAATCATTAAAAGTCAACAAAATTTAAATTTCTTCTAGAGTTTGTTTTGGAAGAAAATCTTTATACAATCCATATAGACAACACAAAATTCTGTAACTTTACATTTTACTACTCAGTTAATACTTTTTTGCATAAAATCTATACTTTCAATAAAGTATTTCTGATATATATTGTTTCCCTAAAATACTTGCTTTGGGTGATCATATCCCTTAATACCATATTCAAACCACTTTAATATTTTATGAGGCATATTTAATAGACTCAAACATGCTATTTCAATGAGCTTTCAGAGGCTGAGAGCACCTAAATTTCACAGTATAGATTTAACAGGTTTTTGAACAGTTGAACACATAGTTGATTCTAAACTATAATTAGAACAAATTAAGATTATTTCCTTTATTTTTTAGACTGGTTCTCACACAGCACAGTCTGTCCTGGCTTTCTTAGACTTTCTATATAAAAATGATGTTGAACTTCTGTGCCTCTTCCTCCCTAGTGCTTGGATCCTTATAAGTACCACAATGCCTTTTTAAATCTTTAAGGTAAATTATCCTGTAATTTCTTTTGTTAACTCATATCAAGTTTATTTTTCAGTTCAACTTCAAGAGTTAATATTTAAAAGTCTAGTTATCAATTTGTACATGCCAATCATGTAGATAAAAAATCTAAGACTGAAAGAAAAACCTGGCTACTCTAAAAAACAACAAAGTGAACACTTTACCAAATAAAATCTGAACATTTTTGTTACATACTTAGCAATAATAATTATAATAATAGTATTATTATTAAGCATTAATTATTATAGTTTATTATTACAATTATTAGTGGTAGTAGTGTTGTTGGCAAATGGTCCAAAGGAACCTTCAAAATGATAGGCATTTACAAAGTACCATCACAAATCGGGACAAATTGGAAGTATAAAGTAAGTTGGGATGCAGACCATGAGATTTGACCAGGAGCCATAAAAGCTGATTTGTCATGGACTGAAGAAAGAGCTCAATGCACAGTCATGCGGCCTGGAGTTCAGATCCCAGCACTGATGTAAGAAGCCAGGCTTCTGTGCTTGCAGACAACTTTAGCTCTGAGAGTGGTGGAGACAGATAGGATTGGTGGGACTTGCTGTTTTCCAGCCTGAGAAAACAAAAGCATAGGTACAGGGAGAGCCAGGGAGAGACCTTCTGTCAAAAGGCATTGAGCAGAGAATGAGAGAGGAGGATACCCAATGCCTCCTTCTGTTCTCTACAGGGCAAACGTCCACACCTACCCAAATGCGCATGCGTATGCACACACACACACACATACACACACACACACACACACACACACACACAAACATGGGAAGAGGTAGGGAGGGAGAGCAAGCAAGCCAACAAATAACTATAAAAACAAGATTCCAGCCCTCATATGAACTGCATACATTTTGTGTTCAGAATAGCATTTACTTAGCAGAAGCACATTTCTCTGTTTTCCTTTGTGTGTGTCAATAGTATATAATATGAAAAAAATTAAAACTCAAGAATAGTTTTTCCTGTCAGCCTTTCCTTCATGTTAGGTTTTAATCTGAGAGTCAGCAAGGGAATTTGGGGGAAGCCAGGGCGGGGACAAAGGAAGATGCTGGATTAATATGTGAAGCAGCAGAAAATCCAAAATCATTTATTTCAGCAGCCGCCCTCCAAACTGATGAAATCACAGCACTAGGAAGAGATGTGAAAAGCTAACAAGTAGAGTAGATTGGTGGCCAGTCTAAGACCTCAGTTCTCAATGGCCTTGAGATATCTGGAATGTTAGCATGACATCCAGAAGGGAGATTCTGCTTTCAAGAAAAAACTAAGTGCTATTCTGAGCATTAACATGAGCAACAAAAAGTATTATCCATGTCTGAGATTTAAATCAAAACGGGTATATTGTTTTATAGTAAGAGTTTAAAGAATATATTTTCATTGGTTGTGATTTTAATTATTACTTATAAGAAAAGCCCATCAAATTCCTGGCATAGCCCGCTGGAAATGAAAGATGCCATGCTCTAAAATCTTGGTGCTCTTATTTGCTGCTTAGAGTGCTTCCTCATCATACCCTCAGAGGTTTACACGGGTCTTTTGAAGAATGCATTGATATCTTCACGCAGAGTTAAAGCTATATTTATTTGGTTTCTTACGAAAATATGTGAGCTGGGCTTCTGTTCTTTCCCTTTCTTAATCATAAAATTAGCCCACATTCCTTTCCCTACACTTTCCTCAAGTCCCAACATACCTAATTTGCTCAAATTGTTTATCCTAGCCCCTCTCTGGCCGCCCTGCTGTTTCTCATCTCCTATATTGAAACTTAACACCTGAACAGTATGCTTCTCAGTCTCTGTCATGGTTCCCCTCTACATCCAGCCTTTCAAACGGTATCGCACTTCCCTCAACACAGACCATACTCATTCAGCTCTCGGCATGTTGACTCCTCACTTTATGCAAAACACATTTAAACATTCACTTTTCATTTTCCTCTGCATTTCACCCCTGGCTAGAAACAACCCCACGAGAGAGAGAGAGAGAGAGAGAGAGAGAGAGAGAGAGAGAGAGAGAGAGCCTTCTGCTAAGGCTGCTTCCATCCCCTTGTGCTTTCCTTCTTTCCTTTGCATGTTCACTTAGTAACAAGAGAAACGATGGCACTTATTGCAATACCGCACTCCTACTATTGCAAAAATAATGTTGTGTCTACACAAATATACTCAGAAGCGATATTTCTATCTGTTTGCCTACACAGGTACACATGGTCACATGTGTAACATATAACAGGGTTTGAAAACCAGCAGCTAAACTGTCAGCTCCTGTCAGCCAGGGGGGAAAAAAAAAATCAACATTTCTTCTTTAGTATAAAACCACTGGAGAGTCAGTTATACCTCGAAGTTGCTTTCAGGTGAGTGGTCAATTGTTTTCTGGTGTCCAGTTGGATTAGCAACATTTCTGCTGTGGTCCAGGTACATGCCAATGCCACCACTTGTCTTTTCAGGGTTCCCAGACTCTAACCCATGCCATAGATTTTTATCTTACTCATGCAGTAATGTCTCTTTCATTTAATGTATCCAGGTACTAATTTTTTGGTTTCTGTTTCAGCTTGAGAATTCACTCAAGTATATGTAAGTGAATGCAAATGATGCTGCCAGGAAGAAGACAGGCTCTTTTGGTCGCTAAGCAACAGGCCTAGAAGTGATAATTTATAATCTGCAGTGCTTTGTGACCCTTAGACACTTTTTTACTTCGTTTCTGGTAAGATGGGACTAGTAGGCTGAATATTGACATGACTCATAATGCATAAATAAGTAAAAATTCTATGTACTTCTTTAATCACAGAATCCCACTCTCTTCTAAGCTTCAGAGAAACTTTCTTAGGGGGTTTGTCATTTATATTCAAGGTCCCCTTGTGCTTGAAGATTTAAAAGCCACACTGTGTTGAGTGTTTGTTTCATCTACAGGATCATTACTGATTTTGTTTTACTGTTTTTGTGTTATCTGTGTATTTATTTAGCATGTGTATGTGTGAGTGCATGTGTATAAGCATATAAGTACATGTGCATGCCTACTGAAGCTGGAGGTCGGTGGTGGGCATTTTTCTACAGTTCTCTCCACTTGATTTACTGAGGAGTAGTCTCTTGATCCCAGAGCTTGACAATTTGTCTACTCCAGTCCCTGTATCTACCTCCTGAATGCAGAGATGACAGGCACACACTGACATACGGACTTGGCTTCTGTGTAGGCGCCGAGGCTGTGTACTTTGCTCCTCATGTTTGTGTGGCCAGCACTTTTTCCCACTGACCCATCACTTCAGGTTTTATTTATTCATTTTGAGACCATGAATTACCTTGTAAAGCAGGCTAGCCTTAAACCCCAGATCCTCCTTCTCTAACGTCCTGAGTGATGGAATCACAGGCATATACCAACCACCTTCTACTGATACCATTCTTAAACTCATTTATACAGCTCAGAAAATCCACTAAGTTGCTCGGTTCTCGGAGCTGCTATTTTTTCCTCCTGAACAACAAAACACACATCTTGATCTATTTCTTTATGTGATTGGGTTCTGTTTATTTGTCTTTCAAATTTTCTCAGATTTTCTTACCTAGATCTGTAAGTACTTAGAGACCCAGGTTATTGCTCGTAAACTTTAACCCTATGCTGTTCTCTTTTATAGTAAGAAAAGTTTCTTGCTTCCTAACATGATATATTAGTAATATTTACAATATTAGTAATATTTTGTGCAACAAGTATCAGTCATACATTGACACTGGTTTAGCATAAAGTTACTTTTTGGGAAAGCAGGTGTGTAATAAAGAATTTTAGCGAGAGAATTTGTGAGCATTTCATAGCAGTTGCTCAAGTAGAGCTTGGGACCACCGCCTTAAAGGAGTGCACAGCCCTCTGATCCCACATGCCTGGTTTCTCAGTGTGTTCCTGTGTAGGCTCACAGTGCTTGTCAAACATGATCACATGTCTGTAAACATGGGTTGACAGAAAACACATCAGTTAATCAGCAACCTCAGCGAATAAACAAAACCGGGCTACAGAGAACAATCCCCAGCCACATAGAGTGACTCTTGGAGGCAGTTTCTGGGAAAGCACAGCACTAGCAAGGAACCTAAAGATCCTTCTTTCTGACCTAGATTTGAAACTGCCTCTCAGCCCTTTCTGCCATGCTACGGCTCAAAAACTGGCTGACTCCCTTGACTGATTATTGGCTGGGGAGTCCATAGCTTTGATTTTTCACTTTGTTCTTAAAATCCTTTCCACATCTCTGTCTTTATTCTGAGAAGCTACAAAAGTGAAAATAGAACAAATCAGAAAGCACACATACTACAGAGAATAATAGCAAAGAATTTAAAAGATGTGGCTATGATCACAGTATGTTTTAGACTTATCCACAGATAAAACTGGCAGTCTTCACTGAACAAGGTCCCTTCTGTTTCTGTTTTTTGTTTTTCCCTCACAGACAGCATCTTTCAGTGGCCTTCATGTGACCTAGTAGTGAGTTTCAAAGAGCTACTTATAAACATGTTCCTAAAACAACATATACTTTTGTTCATACTTATACAAGGTATCTGAAAGACAGTCCAGATACTTAGCCAATTATTTGTGCACTTTTCATACTTTGGTTGCCCTGTCTCTTTTGTATGTTCTTTCTTCTCACAGTTATAGGTGGCTCATATTTACCCTTTGATAATTTCTATCTTCATGTTTGCTGTTTTGTCAGTTTGAACGCATGAGGATAGTCATTTAAGCTAATTACCAGAAATTCCAAAGAAAGTTTTAGTTTTTTAGGTACTTTCTCCTTGGCAAAACCTTTCTAGTGATACTTGAGTGCTGTGTTTTTCAATACCGTCAGTAGACTATTAAGTCCACCCAGCAAAGGATTACAACAAGTTCATTGGCATGAAGTATCCAAACTCTTGGCTAACTCAAGAGCTTAATAATTCTCCTGGAGACATGTTCCCTTTGTGGGTTAGAGTTAAACATTAACCACTGAACAATTTTGTGGTTCCTTCAGGCTTGTATTTTTTCCCCCCTCTGGTGTTGGAAACAATGGGAGTGTCTTACTTGTGATTGTTGTGTGAGGCTGCTAGTTCATTTTCTGACTGCCCGGCAGCTCAGGCCCAAAATAACCACACAGAAACTGTATTAATTAAATCACTGCTTGACCTATTAGCTCTATCTTTTTATTAGCTAGCTTTCACATTTTAATTTAACCAATTTCTATTAATTTGTGTATTGCCACATGACTGTGGCTTACCGACCAGGTTCTCTCTGGCATCTGTCTCTGGTGGGGCTACATGGATTTCCCTCACTCTGCCTTCCTTCTCCCAGCATTCAGTTTAGTTTTCCCTGCCTAGCTCTACCCTTTTGCCCTATTACAGGCTAAGGCATTTTCTTTATTCACTAATCAATAAGAGCAGAATATATATACAGAAGGACCTCCCATACCATGTGATGGCTCATAGTAATTGCCAATTTGGTAGCCAAAGGGCAGGCCTCTGTGCATACCTGAGGATTGGCTAGTTTAAATTTAGCCTCTGAGAATATTGGAGAAAGGTTGTTTTGATTGAGATAGTTGATAAGAGAAACCTCTTCTAATTGTAAATGGGACCATTGCCTGAGTAGGCAGTAGACTGTAAAAAGTGGAAAGATTGAAGCATTAGCTTGTACATATTAATTCATCACTCTGCTTTGACTGTTGTGCTATGACGAGCTCTTTCAAGTTCCTGCTGCTCTAACATACCTGCTATAACGGAATTTAACTTGAAATCGTGAGTCAAATAAACAAATCATTTCTCAACCAAATTAGTTTGGTCAGGAAACTAATCATTAGCAACAGAAGGGAAACTAAGATGGATATTGATGCCAAGAAGTGGGGGATAAACTTGACCAGGTAGCATTTAGGTCCTTGGAGCTGTTTTGTGGAAAGGATGTGGAAGAGTCTGGAGTCTTGAACTAAAAGAGCAACTGAATACAGGAAGCAGAGATTAATGGACCATTCTTGTGAGAAGTTGAAAGACCGCAATGCTGAGTGAAAAGTGGACATTTGAGGTCAAGCTTGTGAGGTTTCCAAGGGGAACAAGAACTGTTACAATGAATGTGTCTAAGACCATTTATGTGATATTGTGCCTAAGAATCTGACTTTATTCTTCTTGGGTCCCATGAACTTGAGTGAAGTTGGAAGAAAAATGGACAAAGAAACAAACAAAAATTATAATGGAATAATTCAATTAAGGAAAAGTTTGTAGTTTCAAATGGCTATGCAGACAACAAAGCACCTGTGACTGCCGAAGAGTCAGTGCCATTAAACAGAAACCTTGAGTTCCGACTGGGACAATAGATGAGTGTTTTGTCTGGGTCAGCACAGAGAAACTGAGACCTCTGTGATCCAAGATGACAGTGTATATCTCTAACTGATGGCAGAACTTGGGCCTGGTACCCATGTACTGCTAGTTTTAAAGGCTGAAGGATGCACAATCGAAGGGGTGATGGAAAGCAAGTAAGACCATAAAAAATGTGGCAGAGTCAGAGTCCCTGCAAGTTGGCCTTGAAAGACAATTTTGTGAAGCTTTGAAGATGAAACCTAAGTTGTGTAGGAAACTCCAGACTATTGGAGATGCAAGAAAATGGGACATCTGCCAAAGAGGCCTATAGTCACGGGATGAAGCTGGCCAACCAAATGTCATGAACCTGGAAAGGGACTGATAGAGATTGGTGTTTTTGTGGGGATCTGTGCATGTGATGAGGATGAGAGGAAGACAATATTCAACAAGGTTTGAGGAGTAGAGTACTCAGAAAACAGTAAACATGCATGAAATTGTCAAGGAATAAAAGTAATCCTTAAAAAAAGAGAAGTCAGAGAGAACCAGGATGGGTACATGTGAGGGGTCAGACGGAGGAAAGGGAAAGGAGAAAATGAATGATTATATTTCAACGTTAAATAATACAATAAAGAAAAAAATCTCAGGACACACATTTCTCCAGGCACCTCCTGCTATAAATTTTTAGTCTACTTACTGTAATCCCATTTAGATCAAAGAGCTTATTGCTTTCTTTGTGGAATTCTGCCTGTGCCCACGTTATCTGATGCTTTGCCATGTAGCTTCTTTGTTAAACCAGACCAACCTCGGCAAACACTGGTGCTTCTTTGGGTTTCCTTTCATGAATGTGGTTTGCTCCTTCTTCTCAGCAGACAATCACACAGCACCTTCACCACACACAAATGTGAGACCTCCTCTGAGGAGCCCGAGTCCCTTGGCATCCTGCTGTTGTGCAGTTTCATGTAACTATTACAATACAGAGGGACACTGAAGAGAGGAGGCAGTGAGATAAACTCCTTTCTTCTCCCAGCCAGTCGGATCCTCTTTGAACACTCCTGAGTGCTTAGTCTTTGATTACACTACAAGTCAGTATTATCGGCTCAAATGGGTTTTGTGTGTTTAAAAGGAATTGTCAAGGTTTTGAACATTTAGAGCATGTGTGTTAGGGAATCCCTATTGTGGAATTCTTCATGTACACTGCTTTTTGTTGCTTTAAAAATAGGAAATAATACCATAGTCCCTTGAATGCGTAATTACTGTTGCCTGGGGCATCCCAGATACGCCTCTTTCCAGCTTTGCCTCCTATTTGGTCCACCACCAAGGCTCAGCTAGACAATTCAATATCATATAAAGCTGCTCACAGGGAAGAATTTTCTCCGACACTCCAAGTCAGGCCTCAGTGTCCTTTACCACTTATCATAA